ATAATCTGTAAATGGGCACAGCTCATGGTATTCAATTTATAGTTAGCAAAAAGTCAACAAAAAGAAAAACAAAGCAGTGGAACGTCTAGTGATGCAGAGCTCCACTGTGACGAGATGATGTCAAAAATGTCTGATTAGACTTGTTCACAGGATTACATGTCTGCAAACTGCGGGCTGATTAAAATGACAGAGGACATGTCTGTTTTTATCAGGCTGTGTTTATGAACAACATCAGCTTCTCAATGACGGGGTAGACGACTGATGTCTTGTTACAGAGTTGAAAGTCAACCACAAAGTCATTAGCGACAGTCGTGCTACTTTGTTCACATGTGGCCGATGTGGCAGTATATACAACAACAAGGAGAGGGATGGACTGTTGTTCTCCATGGTGAATCAGGTAGGGCTGGACTGATCGATTAACTGATTGTTTGACCGTGCCCAGTAATCATGTGGAAGCATCACCAGAAGGACGTGGTACTGGCAAAAAACCAACATGTTCCTGCAGTTTTGACTTCTTCGTTCAAACAGCTCAGTAATAGTTATTTCTAATCCAACTTTTAAATTAACTCTCAATTCAACATCGTTAATCTGTCTAAGATTGATCAAATTGACATAAAGGTAACATAAATTACCCAAAGTCATGCAACAATACAAAATTCACAGATTTGAAACTACATCAATATATTTTCCCGTTAACCTATCAGGAAGTCTTGGAGGCTCGATTTAGGCTGAAAGAAAGAAGATTATTAAGATTTAGATAAAAAAAAATGTCTTATTTGTCTAAGTATTATGAAACAAGAAAGATTTCAATTTCTTCTCTAAAAAAAAGTAGTCAGAAAATCAACAGGAAGGTCTGTTAAGAAAAAATAAGTGACGCCAATTTTTACATTTCCTGTGGACTTTTGTTCAAGTGCTCCACGTGTCAGTTCAGCCACCACAGAGAACTGGGAAACGTGGACTGAACCCTAGATATGTGCACAAGTGCTCCAGTGATGAAATGGCTGTGTGATATAGTGGAACATCATCTACACATAAGCTAACACATTTCCATATTCCATTACGAGGAGAAAAGACACGTTTGAATGAAGGGAAAAGAACACACGGGGCATCCAGTGGAAAGCAGGAAATGGAATAATCTAAACTCATGCAATCTGAGGAAATAATGAGGTGAATGGAGTTGTAGGTTGGCAGGGAAGGAGATTGGCAAGATTTTATTACATGTGAGAGAGAGGCATATTAATCATAGCCCAGGCACAACAGTGAGGAAAGAACCCGGAAAAGGTTAATGTGTGGAACCTGGTAATAATATACGCAGCTGGAATACAAAAAAGGGTGTGTTCAATATGCGGCTTAGCAATCGTTGCACTTTGTTAAGTCACTGAGAATAAGGCAATGCTACACATATATTACCTACGAGGAAGAAAATATGAAGGGTGAAGTGAACACGTGACAAACAGCATAAATTTAACAGTAAAAATGTGGGTGTGAATATCAGCCTGAATCTCACTCTCTCACTCTCCTGTCTGTCACCTCACTTCTCTCATTTCCTGCAAAACCACTTCTCAACATCATCCTGGTCAACAGGCAATAAACTAAATAAAAAAAAAACACATTATGGAGGCGACATCAGTGTCGTAACGTGCAGTACTTCATATTTACAATCCTGCCCTCAGGCTCATTGGCAAAGACAGGAGAATACTTCATGTCTTGTTAATTTACACATTTTCTGTATGAGAAGCCGAACGTACTTCTCAGCACATCGTCCTGAATTTGGATTCATTCCTGGAGCAACATTCTGTTCAGTTTTAAACACAATACAACAACCGCAGAGACAAACGTTCCAATCCAACAAACCTCTGAGAGACACATTTTTACTTTGATATGAACAGCCTGTTTATCAGAGTCACAAAAGGAGCCAAGGAATTGATTTGTAATTGTTCTGAAGAATGATGGAACACCAATTGAACAACAGTGCTGTATGCTGCCCCCCCCCTCCTCACCCCTCACCCCCACTGAGAGCATCGTACAGGTTATTACTGATACACTTACAGCCTTCTGTTCACACAACAACAAACATGTTCACAGAGAGGATTGTGCCTTTCAGTGGAGACACAGGGATACAGCGAGACAATAGGAAGGCATTCCACAAACACAAACCCCCATAATGCACCTGTTAAACTAAACAAACCATTTAAGAAAATAAAAGCGGTGGACAATACCTGGGTAAATAGCATCAAACAGGAACTCTAGGCACAAACAATTGTAGTTGACACTTACCTCAGATGAACATCTGTGTGTGAAGAGTCAACGCTGAGATGTGACGTGGAGGCCGGCTGTTTGGACTTGAGGCAGCAGAGAGAGAACCTGGTCCAGGGTTGATGAGCCGTTTATGAAATATCAGAATCAGATATACGTTGTTGATCCTCAGGAAAAAATAGTTGGTGTTAGAGTTGCTCCTGCAAAAGCATCCTGAAAAGAGCAAGAGCAATGCCAACAATTATAAGAAATAGAATTAGAGAAATATAAAAAAAATATGCACAAAAAGTAAAGACAGAAATTAACTATTATCCTATTTACAGGTGTATATACAGTGTCAGCTGTACATGTATGATTTTAGCAGGTTTTTCTGTGTAATATTGGTAACGCTGTTACCTAATAATAATAACAGATAAGAGAAACAAAATAATTCAATGTACAACAATATCTAAATATAACATGCATTCTGTACTGTGTGTTGGGAAATGTAGCTGAAATGTCTTCTGTTAAGTTATAAAGTTATACAGACAAGTGCAGAACGTCATTATTGTGGTCGTTTTTAAAATAATAATAATAATAAAGTCAAAACGACTTGGAAGCCCGGTTGTCCCGCCCTCGCAAAAAAGTCCTTGATTTATTGGTTAAATTAATAATAATAAACGGAATAATAATATTTATTTATTTATTTTTTAGGGAGGCAAATAAAAAAAGCAAAATAATTAAGTAAAATTGCATATAGAAATTTATAAATTTACCGTTCTTTACCAACAGCTCAGTTTATCTATTATTATTAAATTCTTTCTTAACAATTGAAATGGTTTGTCCACAAATGTACAGAGACAAACACTGCTTTAAACCAGCCCTAATGACACACATTCAGATGTAAATATGAATATGTTTCAGGTCCAATCTTCACTGCTGCACACAGAGAAATGTAATTAAAGCTGGACCCTTTCAACTTAATTAAGTAACGCTGTTGTGGGATATTTATGCTTTATTTATGCTATCTGAAGTGATTTTATTTAACAGTACAGAGTTACAGCGATATATATATATATATAAAGCACCCATGCAAACCAGCATCATATAAAACCTTATTAAAGGGAGGAGGATGTTCTGCCAAGCTGCAGGCTGTGTCAGAAATATTAGCCTTTTATTGTTACTGTAAGTACTGTCTGTGCTTGAACTCAATCCTATTTTCTCATGACGCTGCAGAGCTTCAGAGAACATTTATTTCAGTGGGCAGTTACTGATCTACAGCCATAACAAAAGCTCTATGATGATTGGTAAACACAACGCATTTTTTTTTCTAAACATACTGTATGATGTTTGCACTGACCGTTTGATAACAGAGAGGTTCCATATATATTAGAATCTGTGATTTTTAACCATGATCAGACATTATTGGGGTATTTTATTTGTATTTGCTTGTTGATATTAATCAGTCGTTTGGACCAAACCAGCCAAGCTCAGTTGCTGAACAATGACGAGCTTTGAGAGGAGACAAAAAAAGCTAATTTCAACTGAGGAAACACTTGTGTGAAAAACACTCGCCTGATTTTAATCACATTCTGATTTTTTTTTTCTGACCAGAAAAGAGCCTGCAATTATTTGGAACGGGGGAAAAAAATTCATGATGCAACAGCACCATCTAGCAGGTCGTCTTGGGCCTTGCCTATGTTCGTTCGAGCTTATTAGATAGGCAGAACAAAAGCCCTTAACGCCTTCACAGCATCTCTTCTGGAAGAGCAAACATTTACTTGTCGAATTGGCGTAGACTCACCGTGTTTTATCTTCCTGTCTGTTGCGGGCTGCACCACAGTCAGTCTAGATTATTGCAGTGTAAACATGTCTGCCTTGTATAGCAATAAGCTGCCAAACCAGGAGAAATAAGTCATAGGATGTGATTGCTGTTTGGCTCTGGGTTTGTTTTTTGGAATGGTGATGTATTAGCTGACTCTGAGGTATTGCATTATTCTTCTCCAAGACAGAAACCCAGGTGTGGGCTCATTCTGCACCAACATTTCTAGTAAGATAATAAGTAATGATGAGTATAGAAGGAATCAAACGCATGCAGCGATGATTAAAGCTGTAATTCAAATCAAGTGCAGGCATTGTTAGTGGTGTGTGTGAGCTATTTCACATCACGACTTTTGATGAACTGCATTGATTGAACATTGTCAGCTGGTTGAAGAAAACATCAACACCAATTTATTACACAACATGATGTACTGCTGCTACTATCTTTTTTTGCCTAAACACATACGTCGTTGAGATTTTGACAACTTACCAGCCTCTGATAACGACAATTGTACGTTTTCATTCTTAACAAGAGCTGCAGGTGAATGTCAGTGGTAACATAAAAGTTATAGACTGATGCACTCATTCATTTTTCTTGTCTTTTTCTTACCCAGTCTGCTATAATAACATAAAAATATGGTCATTTCAAAATAATAGTTTCCACAACTAATGTTGGTCTTCAGGCTGTAGATTTTACTAACATCGAATTTGTTTAAATATATATAAAATTGACTCAGCTATTACATTTGTTTATTATTCCAGAAAATCATAATCAATCACACACTGAGCCAGCACTCCGAAAACCTCCCTTGTTTCAGCCTGTCCTCCTCCAAAATATAATCACATCTTTAAGATGTCTCCTCCATCATGATTTTCTAATGAAATTATCAACAAATGTGACCATCTTTGTATCACCTCTGCTCACAGCTGGCGTTCCAAATTGTGTGTGTTTGTGATCGCAATTAAAAATGCATAGCCTCTCTCCAAACAGTGTCCTGACAAGCCTCTTGTGGTTATTGGGTATCAGTCATTAAAAATTAGTGAAGAGAGAGAGAAAGAGAGAGAGAGAGGGCAAAGCGTGGCCCAGGTGGGTGTCAGGTTCCTGATTCCGGCTGTGAATGAATTTTTCAGAGTCCCATTACTTCTCCAGACACCAGTGCTGATGTCTTCACGCAGTAAAGGCTGACGCTGCCATTGTCTGTCTCTGCTGTTATGGTAGCTGAGGTGTGACAAATGCCAAATCAACACTAAAAACATGAGTCTGAAGGTGGCCGTGTTGATTAATTTACTCCTAGCTGTTGACCAGGCGGATTCTATGAAAGGTAAGTTTCAATTTCTTATTTTGATGACGTGCAGCTCAGACTTTAGAGGTGCTTTATCTTCCAGATAATGTATTAAACTTGTGCCCTCGTTGTTCAATGTCAGCCTGTCTACCCTTTTGGACTCTCTAGTATATTACTACAAGATATAAAAGTGCAATGGCCTTCGTTTTTGTTTATCTCCACTCTTTGAGCTGATAAGAGGCTTCTTTTTTGGAAATAATAAGGTGTCAAATGTGGAGGAATCCTGAGCGCTCCATCTGGCAATATCTCCACTCCAAACTTCCCAGGCCTGTATCCCTACAACACCAAGTGCTCGTGGCTGATTGTTGTGGCCGAGGGCTCCTCCATCCTACTCACCTTTAACTTCTTTGAGCTGGAGTTCCACGGCAACTGTGCGTACGACTACATCAAGATCTACAATGGCATGGCGAGGGACGAAGGAAACCTCCTGGGGACGTTTTGTGGGGACATCTCGCCTCCGCAGTTCACCTCCTCCTGGAACGTCATGTCCATAATCTTCCACTCAGACCGCCACGTGGCCTTCAGAGGCTTCAACCTCAGCTACAGAAAAGGTAATATTTTTTATACACCGTAAGATACATGAGTCAGGGGTACTCTAATACAAATCACTGAGACATTTCCAGAGGTAAACTCTGTGACAATGAGTCAAGATCCATTAACTGTAGCATGTCAAAAAGTCAACAAAAATACATTCTAAAATATAACACATTTTATATAAAATGCAATTTTGTAAAAACTCAAAAACATCCTTCTTGCATTTCTGTAAAAAGTTACAGATGTTTCTTTAAATCTTAACATTCTTTATTGGATTTCTGTGTCAAATTCTATGCATCAGGTCAAAGAAAATTTCATTTAACATAACTGTCAAAGGACACTGACAGTATGATTAAAACAGTACATGACTTTTTTATTATTTATCTATTTTCCCCAGATATGTGTGGTGGGGTTCTTAAAGGCCTGTCTGGGGTCATCTCCAGTCCAGGATACCCTCAGGAGTACAGCAACAACGCCGACTGCTCCTGGACGATTCACGTGTCCAACACCAGCGTCGTCAGTCTAGTCTTCATAGACTTCCAGCTGGAAAACAACGAAGGATGCAACTTTGATTTTGTCGCCCTTTTCGATGGACCGACAGTCACCCATCGCCACCTTGGCAACTACTGCGGGGCAGACAGACCACCCAACATTGTCACCACCTCCAACCAACTACTGGTGGTCTTTAAGTCTGACTTCAACATTGGGGGACGAGGCTTTAAGGCGCACTATTACTCAGGTACATGGATGGAATTTATGATAAAAAATTTACACAGAAACAGGGTTTTGTTTGTATGTCATGCCAGAACAAATACCTGGCCATTTATTTACTTAAAAATAATAATTCTCAGTTTGTACAGAATCAATAAAAGATCCACCCAAAAAAATGTAAAAAGGGCAAAATTGCTGTAATTTAAAAAAAACTTCTTTGATTAAACACTGAATTTATTCAGCAAAAAGATTAGGCCAGGAAGAAAAAATCAAATCCATGGAGGGCAATACACCTCCTGGTTCTGCCCAGTAATGAAATGTAAATTAAAACACAGTTGTTCTCACTCGTCTGACTAGGACCTTTTTTTTTAACTACAAATGAGAATAACGGAGCTCTTTAACGACCTGATAATACTCCAAATTCAAATCAAATCTTTTTTTTTTCTTACTTTTTATCACTACTTTAATTTTATAGAGTTAAAATACAGCAGCAGTAAAACACTTGACTGTATCCTGGCCAGGTACTGTTTCCAGGAGGGTTGTTTTTATTCACTGACGGTCTCTGCTGAGCTCCACTAATTGGACGGTGGCTGTTGCTTCCCATTTTATAACCAGCTAAAGTAATATCGATCTTCTCATCCGCCTCTTGGCAACAGCTGATGTGAACAAACCAAGGCAGACTATTACAGTCACCCTTGTCTGATAAATTGTACTCTGAACAGGTGAATGCCAACAGGGCCTGTCAGCTGTGAGCGGCAACTTCACCAGTCCTCATTTCCCCAGCATTTATCCAAACAACATCAACTGCCACTGGAGCATCACTCTTGCAGCAGGATACCGTATCAAACTCTTCTTCCCAGTGATGGACTTGGAGGACCGTGACCGCCTGTCAGAGGAATGCGACTATGACTCTGTGTCGGTTTACGACGGCGCCAGTCAGACCGACGCCCTGCTGGGGCGCTGGTGTGGCAGAGAGCAACCTTCCTCTCTCATCTCAAAAGGCAACAAGCTGCTGGTGGTACTGAACACAGACAGGAATGAAGCCCACAGAGGGTTTGCTGCATCCTATCTTGGAGGTGAGTTCGTGACGGGGCAAACAAGTGAAAAAGAAAATATCTTTTCTGCTTCACTCATTCATGCCATCTAAACGTCACATTGTCTTTTTTCCTCCCACAAAAGTGGTACCTGTAAATGTCAGCTGCACAAGATCAGAATTCACCATCCTGATCCCCCAGCAGTCTCTACCCCAGCTGGACCGTGAGAACATCTACCTGGGAAACCCATCGTGTACAGCCCAGTTAACAGCCACCTCCTACAAAATACTGGCTCAGTTCGTCAACTGTGGAACTGCCAGTCAGGTGAGTTGTTGTTACCTCATATTAACAACGTTTTAAAGCCTCAGTGCCCCAGTCAGAGGGAGAGTTACTGTTTAGTCAAAGCTAAATGTTAAGTCGAACATTTTGCATTTTTTCTTGACATTTTCCAACATTAAAAATTCCATCATTTGGATTTGTCACCAATAAAAAAAACACATACATCTATCTGCTGACAGAAACATCGCAACATCACAATGCTGGTGAACAAACTCTACATTGACTTCTCGGACGGGAAGCAGCAGAACATTCAGGAATACAAGGTGCAATGTGACGCCCTGAGGAAAATAGCATCGGTGTCCATTGTCTCTGCTGAGGAACGTCGCCAGGAAAAAAAGACCCAACAAATCGACAATGACGCCGGCGGACATGTAGGGGAGCATAGAGCCGAGCCTCACGATTTGAGTGACATCGTCTTCATTAGCATTTGTGTTCTGGCTGTCATTCTCATGGTGATCGCCATTGTGTGGCTCGTGTTGCTATAGTAAAGGAAAGGGTCCACAGAAAAGGGTTTTTATACTGTATTTTATACACCTATTTTTATATAAAAAAAGAAACATCTACAAAAACCTTGCAGCAAAAAAATATATGAACTGTATCATTGATATGGATGTTTGACAAGAATTGTAAAAAGGTTTTGTATGTTATTTACAAAAAACCTTTAAAATATAACATTAAAAATCCTACTTTTCACAGCTCTGGTTCTGCAGCTACTTCTTATATTTGGAAACAACTTCCTTTGCTGACATTGTGTTATCCTTCACTTGTCCTCTTACGTCTGCGTTGTGTTTGAATGCAAACACCAGAGCCCTCACAGTGCGTCTGTATGAACTGCTGACTAGCCGGGAGTTTTGGTGAAATACTTCTCTCTCAATGACGTCTATGAGACCTGAATCCTCCTGTAGGTCAATAACAGAAGAAGACAATAATGTCTGAATGAATGTGTTAAGAAACGAATGAACGGTTGGAAAAGGAAAAAGGTCAAAACAGTTTGAAGACAACATGCAAGCATATATAAAAAAGAGAATCACATAATGCTTACTACAGCAATATATTCTCCAAGTTGTAAAGGCCAAATGTAATTTAATAAAACCTGATAGACACAAAAGAATTTTCTGAACCTATATTTGACAAAGCCGGCGTTTTTCACCTTGACTTCCAGAGCCTCAGACATCAGTCTTCTAGCTTTGTTCCTGAGTCCTTCAGATTGTTTGTCAGAGCGCACTTCAATAGACGGCTTATTGGAATTCTCCTCAATGAATGTCCTCCACTCTGTGTATACCTTTGCTGCCATTGAACTCACCTCAGGGTCTGGATGCTTTCGTATCTTGTTAACGGTGTGACCTTAAAAAAAAAAAAAAAAAGCTCATGTTATGGGACAAAGAAACAGGAGAAACTGTAAAACAAGACAGTGGTCATATTTAACTTAAATAATCTTACTTTTTTATCTTGTTTTCTGTTAAAGGCATCTATAAATATGATGTTTGCATGAGTAAAAATGTGAGTTTAATATAGATATACAGGTTGAAAAATAACATTATATATCAATGGTTAAAGCATTCGTTATATATTTCTCTCAGTTAAATTGCCCATGTATATCACAGTGGATACCCACATACCAAAGGACTGAATCGTATATTAACTTCACCTATCTTGGTGGACTTCAGGACCTCCTTAGATGGGATCTTCTTGCTCAGCTCTGTCAAGGCACCCAGTAGACCATCCTTGCTCTGCTCAGGCAGCTCCAACGTGGACTTGCAGCGCATGATATCTTCAATAACAACCACCCTCTGTAGATGTAAACAAACAAGAGAGGTCAGCCACGTGCTTGCAGTGTTCAAGTAAAACCACCCCTGAGCAGGACTCACCCGTAAAGATTCAATTGTAGCTTGTCTGTAAACTCTTTCGTTGCTTTTTATTTTGGGGGAAGTGTCCCCTTTTGGACGTCGGATTACAAACTTGTCCATTTACCAGCACTGAGCAGAAAGCTGCTCGGTTTGTATTTACTTGTGCTAGCAATACAGACCCAACGGCTAATCGCTGTTAGCATCTATTAGGTCTATGTTAAAATTTAAACTTGATTCCAAATCTAATACATGAGAACACGTTGACATAAAGCTATTTCCCTTCTTACAAGTAATCGTTTTTTCTTCTGTCACTACAACTGTGGTAAATCAAATGTCTATATTAATGCCTTTAGCAAAGGATGCTCAACATTAGAGTGAAACGGTGCATTTAAGTGCTGTCGGAAAACTCTTTAGTTGATAATCAAAACTTACTTAATTACAAAGTTAGAAGACTAAATATTAGGATTGTACACAGTGTATACATTTCAACTTTTAATGAAACACAATTTGATTTAGACCACATATGTTATTAATGTCACATTGTGTAATAGTTTTATATGTAATATATTGTTTGTGTATTGAAAGTACATTGCAGTGGGGACCCAGTTTGGTTAGAAGACAAATAAAAACACAAAGGGTGAATAGGAACGTAATATAAATTAAATGAAAGATAATCAGAAATGCAAGAGAACGTCTTAGTTGCAGAACAGGAAGTTGCTGATTTTACGAGGAGCAGTTAAACACGCCACGCCAAATGCGGATATTCTCGCGATATAACGCACAGCTTAAGAAGACGGAAGAGAAGCGATTTGTTGTTTTATTTTGTCGTGCACAAAATGGGGACTTTTGTCTGCTCCGTCTGTATGGTGGGGCTTCTGGTCCTATTGCCAGCCTCGTCGGCTAATCCCGATGTTTTCACCAGTGTCTTGGGAAGCACCGCCTCATGCCACAAATCATGTGAAATGACCTACAGTTTGCACACTTATCCCCGGGTAAGTTTTCGCATCACAGAGGAAAGTTGTTTTTGTTAGCGTTAGCTAACCACAAGCTGCCTTTGACTAACTAAACAGAACTCAAGTAGGACATTTTCAGTCACTATAACTTTCTTATATTGGGTGAAAACGGTGTGTAATACTGGTTCTCATAGACATTGCTCACACTGTTCGATTGTAAGTCTGGTTTGTTTTGCAGGAAGAGGAACTCTACGCCTGTCAGAGAGGATGTCGTCTTTTCTCCATATGTCAGTTTGTTCGTGACAGCGATGACCTGAATCAGACCAAATCGGAATGTGAATCTAGTAAGCTATACTCGATTATCTTCATCATTTGACATCTTTTAAATAAGTGAATAAAGTTGTGACCTGCGATGTCATTTCCACTAGTTAGATGATCATAGCCCAGAAGAACAAATAAGTCTGCGAGATAACAAATGTAAATGTAGAGATCACAATCAGAAAGGCTTAAGTGTTATAAGTGTTATATGTACATGGATTATTTTGCTCAAGATAACCAAAGGCCTTTTGCTCATAACTCTTGATGTGCTGTAATTACTAGTGTTCTCTGCCTTTCTCAGATTGCAATCTTGTTTTTAATCCCTCTGTTACCTCTCGAAATCCAGCATGTCATGAGGCCTACACCAAGTCGGATGAGCAGTACGCATGCAATTTGGGCTGCCAGAATCAGCTTCCATTTGCAGAGCAACGCCAGGACCAGGTGTGTATAACTATGCAACAGTTACTCAGGTGCATGTACATAATGTACAGAAGGTTAGAATGTGAGTTTTTTGTTTGTTTGTTTTTTTGCAGTTGGAATCTATGTTGCCCAGAATACACATGTTGTACCCTCTGGCTCTGGTCAGAGGATTTTGGGACGACGTCATGAGTCAGGCCCACAGCTTCATCACTTCCACATGGACGTTCTACCTCCAAGCTGATGACGGGAAAGTTGTTATCTTTCAGGTATTCAAATTGAAATGTAAATTAAAAAATGGACCAAGTTTGCAAACACAGTATTTCATTTAAATAATCCCTCATAATCTGTTTGACAGACTGAGCCTGAGGTCAGCTTTTTCCCCTCATTCGAGCTGGAAAAAGATGTTAAAATGGAGCCAGAGAGCAGCTGTACGTACACTGTATTTCTCTCTTAGTGTTTGCTTTAATGCCATGTTCATACGTTTTAAATTGAAACTTTTTCAAATCCCTAATAAAAAAAAGAAATTGCATAAGTTTACATGCTAAAACACAAGGATATGAATTGTTGGAAAATGGTAGCTTTTATGGCCAAATGAAAAACAAATGTATTGTTTTGGACTTTGTGGTCATGAAACATATGCTGTGCACCCCCAAATAAGATGTTCTTTTCGGAACTTATTTCAAGTAACTATGTCGTCTTTACAGCCCCTGCACTTGGCACCATAGTTTTCAAAGATTACCAACGCACCTTAATCCAGCAGAGGGACCGAGACATGACTGGAGATGACACCTATTATGGAGAGTACAACTTTTTCAGCTGTCTGTCAAGGTCAGTCGGTGCATTTGGTATTGATTTTTATTATTATTATTAGTTATTGGTTTATGGTTATTTTCACTGTGCTGTTAACATGTCTGAAAGCTGTAGATTTGTCACAATCTATTTTAAATTAAAATCAGTTTTTAAGTTTGTAGGTGCCTACAAGTTAAATAAGTTACTTGTGTTTATTTTAATTTAATCACATGTACGGTTATTGTACTGCAAAAGGAATAAAACTAAAGTCGGTTTGGAGGTCAGTAAGATATCTCATATTTGTGATATTGTAAAAATATTTAAACTCATCAGTTTGTAAATATATTTATCTCTCTGACTCAGTAAGTGTAATTGAGCATTTATGTTGCCACATCTGTCGTTTGTTTACATCTGCAGTTGAACCTGACCACACAGACGGATGTTAATTCTCTCTCCCGGATGTTTAGTTATATGTGGCAGTAAAAACTGAATCCCAAAAGCTCTGTACAATGTCAATATTTATACTTGCCTCTGCAGGAACCCTTGGCTACCAGGTTGGATCCTGAGCACAACTCTCATTCTGTCTGTGTTGGTCCTGATCTGGATCTGCTGTGCCACCGTGGCCACTGCTGTCAACCAATACGTACCAGCTGAGGTACGTTCTGTCCTGTAACACGCAATTTCAATATTTGTTTCTTAATTTCATCTTCATTTACATTTTATCTCCTCCATATTGACTATTAAGACCATATGTATTTCCACATAAACATTTTTCAGCTTCAAAAACCATATGAACATGGCTCATGGAAGTAAATTCATTTATTAGTTGCGATTCTAAATGCCACAACAATTATATGTTCCTTTTTGGGGGGGATTTGTTTGTTTTGTTTTTCTCAGAAATTGAGCATTTATGGAGATGGAGACGAAGCCAAAGAAAAGAAGCTGATACCATATCCAGCATCTTCCCTGCTGATCATCACGGCAAAAGAAGAAGAGGCCGGACCTCTGCCACACAAGGTGAACCTGGGCCAAACCAACATCTAGTTGGCTCAACTGTGCTGCAGAAAAGGGATGTGCTTCTTATGTTCGTGGAGGAAGTGAAGTACTCACCGAATATTTTGTATCCTGGGTGTGCGTGTCGTCCCTCTTGTGACGCTTTTAAAAATTGGAACAATGTGTGTTTTCTCTGTATATACTGTAGGTATAATTGAGGCATTATAATATTTTGATGGAAATGTAGCTCAAATAGGTTTGGGGCTTCTCTGTAGTTTACAAGTATCCATTGGCACTGTGTGTACTTTATTAAAAGTTTAAATAAATTGCTCAAGGAAAACTGAAATGAGTCGTAGGTAAAATCTCAACATTGATGCGAAAACTGTGCTAATGTTGCAGACACTCTTCTGCTTCTTTCTACTGCCATGATAACCTTACTGAATTTTAAATGGGATCCTGTGCTCTTGATTTTAATGAGTGATGATGGTACATGCAACAGGTATTTTCTATTTTGCTGTCTCTTGACATAATGAAGACCTAAAATAAAGTGGAGTGAAGTTGTTGAACCAGGTGTGGATTATTTGTTCTATGCACTTGCCTCTGTCAACCAGCAGCAAACACACAGAAGTAAACAAATTCCACTTAAAAACTATAGGAAGCCATAAACCTCAAACATTTTTTTGCAAACCAAGAAAAAGACTTCTGTGTGATCCAGTTGTTATGGTTTATGCTGTTGTGGGTGTAATTTAAAGTGAGCATTAGTCTGTCTAACACTAAATCCAAATCAGCAACTCCTTGCACTTGAAAAACAGGTTCGTATTGAGAAACTAGATCCCACAGTGTTTGTTTTTGCCACATGCATACACAGTAGAGGTTTGGGTAGGTGTGTATATACAGTTAAATGTTTTGGGTTAGTCTTGTATCCTTCTTTTACAAAAATTGCTTAATTAGTTTAACATCCAGTGTCTTAGAATGTTTGCGGTAACAGCTCAAATTTATATATTTTAATAAATATATGTTGAAGACGTTAGGGAAGGAAGCATATGAGTTTTAGGCGAATTATGATTTATTATGGATTTTTAGATGCAATATAAAACAATTTAATTTAATAATGTATTTGAACATATACATATCAGGCGAAATGAAAAAATATTTAACGGAATTTGGTTGAGCATTTTCCTTTGCATATTTGTATTTGCATATGTAATTTTTATACGGTATCTTATTTTAACACAATTGTTTACTTGCCGGATGTATTTCTTGCTTGCATGCGGAAGAGTTCCTGTTAATTTCCGTTTCCCGTTTGCTACGTAAACTTCAAATTAAAAGTTTACGACTATTATTTCAAAGGTAAATATTACGACTAGCTTCAATACAATTTAGTATACCATGACGTTAATAATTACAGACATATATTTTGCCTTAGACTGTCTTAGACTCCACAATCATTTTTACTTTAAGGAAAACGTCGTTGATTATAAATGTATTAGTGCAACGTATTATTTTGAAAATTATAAGCAGGAAACAGTCTTGTTTACATGATACGTCGCCACAACCCGGACAGTGATGGTATGAGAAAGCTCAAATGATTTAACTTTATTTTTGGACTGTACATCGGTGAGAATGTTTTGTTTACAGTAAATGCAAACAAATTGCCAGCTTTGCAACAAACTGCCGTTGCTTTAATGCTAATCAACCAAAGAGGTACTGACGTAATTGGCAGTTGAGCTATGGGTTGGTGCCTGAATAAATACTAACTAACTCTTGGCTAAGAATCTTGCATTATAAGTCTCTGGTCGTTTTTATATTATACGGCGAACGTATAATTTAGAATATAAACTACACAATCCTATTCTTTTTACAGTTTTTGAAGATCGTGCAAGTCCAACTTTTATGACAAGTCCCCGAAAGACGAGCCTCTGTTTGAAAGAGAGAAATGGCTTCAAAAAATGATCCATTTCAGTTTCAGGGTGAGTGCAACCCTTACTTCAGGCTCTGTGTCACAAATTCACATTAATTTGGTTTTTATTCCAAACAAACAGGGTCTACATGTGCAACAGTGCGCTTGTGATGCTCTTTGTGCCTTTATTCATTTGTGTCAATCTTTTTAATAATTGACTTTCCAGAAGATAGGTCTCCTCAAGCCTAATTCTCCTCACCATGCTCAATGTGTGTCTAATGGTTGTATTTGTACGTGCCATAAATTTAGAATTTGACGACGATGGCAGCCTGTTGGGCGCAAACAGAGATGCCGTCACCATTAGTATTGACAACGACGTAATACCTGAAAGACAAAAAAAACCTGCAGGTTTGTACCACGTTGACGAGGATGAGGACTTTTCTGGTGATGATAAGACAGAGGTGAGGACCGGACAGATGGGTCATTTGTTAAAGTGTATTCATATATTGTAAATATCTGTTAAATCTATTTATTTATTTAATATTTTGCAGCTTCTCTCAGGTCAACGTCAAAATGCTCCTTTCTGGACTTTTGAGTACTACCAAAAATTTTTCGACATCGAGACCCATCATGTAATGAAACTTGATATATTAACCCGATCACTGTACCTCAAGCCACAGCACAATGAAGCTAACATGTCAAATTGTCCTTCAGGTGAAGGAAAGAATCATTGGATCCTTGCTGCCGTGGCCTGGAAAGAACTTTATTCAGGTCTACCTTCGCAAAAATCCCGATCTCTATGGTGAGAATTTGTAATATCACAATATAAATGTTGTGTTCATGTTTGCAGGAACTAAATTATGTATTTATGTTTATAGGACCCATCTGGATTTGCATCACCCTTGTGTTTGCCATTGCCATTAGTGGAAATCTGTTCAACTTTCTGGTGCACTTAGGCAGACCTGACTACAAGTACACTCCAGAGTTTCGAAAAGGTAGTTCCCTTCTTTGCAGTTTCTTACTGAGCTTGATTGTACACACCAGTAGGCACAGTATCTGTATCTCGTATTTATTATTAAAAACCTTTGATTGAAACATGTTGTGTTTTGCAGTGTCCATTGCAGCCACAGCTATCTTTAGCTATGCCTGGTTGGTGCCTCTCGGTCTGTGGGGTTTCCTTCTGTGGCGAAGCAGGAAAACTCTGAACTTGGTGTCATACTCCTTTATGGAGATACTCTGCGTGTATGGCTATTCACTCTCTATTTACATACCTGTAGTGGTAAGTCATTTCCGCCTTGTTCAGAAGTTACAACTTGGTCACCTTGTGATGTAGAAGTGTTTTTTATAATACATAAAACAGGGACAACCTGGCCTCAGTCCACGTACTGTGTGCCATTATGTTATTACAGTAATTACAACCACATTGTGTGTGAGAGAGAGAAGACACATACGAATGCATCATTTGTCAAAGTCTATTTTTTAATAGTTGGTCAAACCATATAAATGTATTATGTAATGGCAATGAGAGATGACCTACATAGTAGTTCACAAGGCCTCTTTGTTTCTCAACCAGATCCTGTGGATCCTCCCATTTGAATGGCTGAGATGGTGTTCTATTTTAGTGGCTCTGTGCCTGTCTGGCTCAGTACTGGTGATCACTTTCTTACCTGCCGTCAGGGATGACCATCCCAGAGTCATTGTGGCAACAATGACTACTGTGGTTGTGTTGAACCTGCTTCTTGCCGTTGGTTGTAAGGTAAATGTGCACATAACAGATACACTTACATTATAACATCATTTTCTATAAAACACCTGCAATGGCAATCAATAAATAAATCATATTCATTTTTAGAACATCACAGAAGTTATTTGCTTCTGTTTACTGCAAGGTTTCTTACCTTCTGTTTTGTTTCAAGTGAACTGGAAGACCTGTAGATAAAATATTTACCAGGGAAAATAGACCCAGTAGGTGGCAGCAATGTAACTCACAAGATACAGATCTTCCGTCCAGGCAGACATGGCACTTAGCAGTTGTTAGCAGGACTAAGACTGACTTGTATACAGAATTGATCTCGGAATAAATCTTTGTAGCTACAGTTCTAATTTCATTGGTGGCTCAGAGCCAGTGTTCCACGCCTGGTTCAACCACTACCATGTACCCCATCTTGTGGCGGTAAACAGTAACTGATCCCTCTTCATTTGTCCTAATTAATCCCAGTACCTTTGCCAAACTTTGACCCAGGTCGCCTATGTCAATCACACTGAGTACTACACGTGTGTCTCTTCCCGTGTGTTTGTAGAAAATTAGTACACTTGATAATGTCAGGTTAACTCACCCCTGAGAGCCTCTCTGCTGGAAACTGTGACTGCATTTTCTAATCGGTGTGAAAACTAACTAGTGTTAGTGATCGTCTTAATGTGGATACTCTCAGGGCCACGGGGATATTGTATGTCTGGTCACATTCAAGTAATTAGTCTACAAGGCAAACCCTGAGTGAAGGCTGACAGACAAAATGACACCGAGAATGCTGCAATCTCGACGGAGCCACAGAATATCAGTGACTCACTTACTCTCAGGTCATCCTGCTTCTGTTCCTGATTGATTAAAAAGTTCCCTTTTATCAATGTCATTGCCTCATTTACACTGTTTGTCCATCTTTGTGTGGCTTTTCAGGCATATTTCTTCAGCAAATCAGTGGAACCTGATCACAGCCCTGCTGCTGCAGTTGTCAGTGTGATCAAGACAACAATTTCAACATGAAACCATTTTTACTGTATAAAGGTATGAATAAAATATAAACTTTTTTTGGTTCAATTTGTTTTTTAGATATAGACATATAACCTGAAATATGTTGGTCATACATCTGGACAGTTAATCTCATTGGCTTTTGTGTTTATTAACCATATCTCCTGCTGTGGTAGCTCTATATTTTAGCATCAGACATTGTTATTTTGGCACACTAAAGTAGTACATCTGACACCGGACTTCCTGTACAGAATTTCTCCTTCAAAGCAAGTGTTATTCTTTTTTAAATCGCAGCCTCTCTTGTTACCTTATTAGAAAGAATCAGGTTGCTTGGGTGCTGAAGTCACGGGTCGTCTGGATTTCACGTGCACCAGGAAATTCTGGCTCAACACCTCCAAACTCACTCTGTGTGTTAGTGCAACTGCATGACCTTTGAAATGTATACTTTTGCCGTGTATACAGTATATTATTTCTTATGGTATGGGTTTTTAATGGCCCTATAATGGACCATGTATTGGAGTACACAGCACACTGCATATATCTACACAAACAGTAAATGCAGTAATGTACAGATAATTTCTAAACTAAAAATGTTTCTGTAATGACAACATTTCCCATGTAAATATGTCTCAGTGAGCTTTGATAAATGACTTGCTATGAAAAGAGTTTTGATTACTACTGTAATAAACCTTTTGTGTCCTGAACTTATTCAAAATGTTAATCTAAACATTTTAAATTTCACCTGTTTTATAATCAGTCAAAATAATCAACGTGTGCCTTTTTAATATCTGTTTCATAAAGAATAAAACAAGATGTTTTTGAATACAATGATTTATAATGTACTTTCTAGTTTCCAGCATGTGTTAAACCAGTGACAGCAGATTTGCCAACTGCTTTTAATCCTGTTTCATTTGGAAGTTGGTGATACAAAGGGGGGAAAAATTGTTTTTGTTTGTTTTGGAAAGACAGACGGTGTTGCCCCTGAGAATACTTACCATTATATAATGGTTGAACAATCTTTTGTTAAAAAGTAGACATGATATGTAATATGACCTCTCATCACCCACCTCTCACACACACACACGTGCGCACTCACTGGCAACATGACTCTCCCTGCCAAGGTCTTGTTCGCATTTAAAGGCTGCCAGTGCATTTCAACATTTGCGCGTTTTAAATATTTAAAAGAGGGAAGATGTAAGGGGAAGGTACAAGTTCAGCAATTTAGATAAAAGCATGTTTAACATTTGGCTTCTGCGATTGCACTCATGAAATCTAATGTTGCGGTTTGAATGCATAGACTGGAAAATGCCTCTTTTAACTGGACAGCTTGTTACTCGATGCCTAATGCACGTAAACTGCATCTAAATTGATGGAAAACTAGCCCCAAGGTGTTTTTATTTCCTTACCAAGGACAATGTTGTTAGATTGATTAACCAAATAAGAAAATAAATTGTGTCACGTGAATTGGTGTCAAATGGACTGCAGCGCCCTAATTAATGGTCATCCTAGCCCTAGCTTTGAGTTACACTGCTGACTGTCAACAGATAACCTTCTAAGAAGAATGTCAATAGCCTCAGTTGTGGGCATGCAGGCAGCTACTCCTTTGTGGATCCGCTCATTCAATGCGGCAGGACTATTTGAACTGCTTTTAGATATACAGCCTTTTTAATATATCTCTTTTGTTTTGAGATTCAGAACTTCTAGGCAGGATGGCTACCTCAGGTGGGAAAGTTGAAAAAGTGTCCAAATTTGAGACTTTAAAACTCCTGGAGAAATGCAGCAAAGAGAGAGATGATGCCTTGCAGAGAGAAAGTGTTCTCAGAGAGAAACTTCGACAGTACGAGACAAGGATGCGTTCAACTGAGGCTCTGAAGCAGAAACTCAAAACCTTAACCATGGACAACAAGGAGCTGAGAAAACAAGTGAAGACACTTCGTACTGAGATTGGACTTGAAAGCACCCCCAAGTTCAATGGTAAGACAACCAAGGACATAATTAATGACTTGCAGGAAAAGGAACGCGAGTGTAGTTCTTTGGTGGAGAAGGCTGGGAAACTCAGCTTGACCATTGATGATTTGACCTCAGAGCTTGCAAATACAGTCACTTCCAAAACTCTTTTAGAAGACCAAGTTCAGTCTCTGCAGCAAAACCTCAAGGACATGACCAACAATCAGCGCCGTCTGCTAAAGTTGTGGGAGGACAAGAAGACTCAGAGGGAACAACTTGCTCTCCCTGCAATTCCACAGAAGCTGGGACATAAACCATTTGTCCATAAATCAACCCAAACTGAAATGTCCATCAGCTCTGCCCAAAAACTTCCCGTCAGTGCATTTGAGACCAACGGATTTCCCCGTGATAATGAAAAAAGGACTGTTTTGGAGAAGCACAGTTTTCCATCCTATGGCTATCATCATGATAAAAAAGCTTTAATGCATGATGAACCAAATGGAATCCAGAACTGATATGACTGATCTAATACATAAAGACTATTGAGTTGGAAATAATTTTGTTTAAATAATTATTTAACAAATGATTTTTTTATGTGTTTTAATGCAAATTGGAAGTATTTACAAATATATCATACAAATAATGTAAAAGTGGGGTTCTGTCATTTTAAAATTACAAACTTTTTGTAGGAACTCAGGAAGTTTTTGTATTAATTATTTTTCGAAGTATTCCCAAAAGTATGTCAAGGTCTGGCAGCAGGCAGTGAGACGGACTACTATTATTTTGGGTCCTTCAAAGGTCTTTGAGTGCATGTGGCGCGATATGGGAAACTGAATGGATAGTAGTTTTGACAGCAGGACAACGGGAGAGACTGTATTCACTGTTTAGCGATCTATTTGTGTGAACGACATGGACGCTGGGGAGCAGAGTTGTTGGTTCATCAGAAAGGTGGGCAAAGTAAATTTCTCATTCCAAACAAACGAGAAAACCTGAATGTGCAAAAATGCTAACAACATGTAGCCTGTGTCTTAGTGCTACTCAAAGTAAATGTAGTTTTCCGGGGTGTATTTATAGCTTAAAAATAAGTAACACTAAGCGAAAAGAACTTAAAATCTATGCATTTCCGTCCGAAAAGGCAAATATTTATGACGGCATTTTAATATTCTACAATATAGCGTATGTTTTCATGTTTAGAAGTTGCCGTTAATTGTTTCCACACGTTAGACAAAATAACAGCACATTGCACTGTGTAATTCTTAACTTTGGTGGTAGCTTAAATTGTACAAAATAGTTAAATCTAAAAAAAAAAATAGACAGAGTATTCAAAACATAAATATTTCAAACTTTATTAAGTATGATTGGAATAGAAAATACAATTCTGAAATGTTTAAGAATATTCTTAACACTCGGATAAAGGCTGAATGTAAATGGACAACTGTTTTATATAGCAACTTATCATATGCTTATGTTAAGTTTTATTTATAGTACTGCTCATTAAAACATTTTTTAATAAGCTCCATAACTGTCAGGGACATGTAACGTCATTGTCAGTTTACTTTCATTTAAATGAGGAACATAATAGTAATATTACCTTCTCTCTACAGGTGATTTATTGGAGAGCCGCTGCCAGTGTTGCTTGGGCTGTTCTGTTGTTACTGCCTATTACAGCGGCTTTTGTAGTCATCAGCAGGTTCAGTCTTTTCCAGCCCATATACACAATAACAGGTCTGTTGCCACATCTATTTTAAAGTCCAACGGTCTCTGCACCATGATGAAAATGTCCATTATAAACTAACTTGTATTTTATATCTGTAGAATGTTTTTCACTGCTAATGAGCACCAGTGCCATATTCTCCCTTATTCTACTTTGTGGAGTGATTCTTATGGTGGGCTTCCTAAACTTGGAGTATTATACAGGTGAGCTGCTGAAGGTTGTTGTCCACCAATGAAATTGACATTGACTGGTTATTGCTGTTTGGGTAACTTTTAGGTAACTTGACATGTTTAAGACGAGATAAGGTGGTAAATTAATTGTTTAAAATTATCTGAACTGTCTTTGTTGTTAACATGGTTTACATGGTCATGGAACTTGGCTCAATATTTATTGATACAATATCTTATTGTTTATTTTGTTGTTGCTTCTTATTATTTACATTAATTGTATTATTTTTTTGTTTTGTTTTTTGTAGTTATACCAACCATTGCATGCTCAAAAATTGACCTATTAGGACAACTGCTTCACCCCCGTCAGTTGGTGAACTCCTTTGTTCATTGCATCATGGGAATAATTGTGTCTTGGTGTTGTGCCGTCAACCTTGGGGGTAGATATGAAGCGCTGGGGCACCCCTGCAAACAGAGTAATGGGTAAGAAAGAAAGAAAGGTTTACACAACTAAATTAAAGTAATCCAGCAGTTTAATTCCATTTGATTTATTTTCAACACATACAG